AGGACAAAAGGGAGGGAAAGGAGGAGAGATAGAAGGAGGGAGGAGAAAAACCGCGAAACAGTGAGTACTCAAAAAATCCGGGAACACTAATAGTGATAACTTTTTGAACCATTGTAACAAATGACTGCAGAATAAAAAAATCATCAGTGTTGACTTTGAACTGCTCTGTAGGAACAAAATAAGATGAAAATTATTTCAATTGTTTCTAGGCTTCTCAGAAGAAAGATGTGAAGAGCGTTCCTTCCCTTGAACCGGAAGTCCTTTCTGTTTTCGTACCTCCGTTTATCAGCAAGCAGGAATTGGAAACAACACATATAAACAGTAATGCATTCAATAAAGCCAAGCGTCGCTCCTTTAGAAAGAAGAAAGAGAAAAATAAGATTGAAAACACAAGAATTCTGAACGGAGGAAGCCAGAAGGCTCCTGAGACTGAAGATATTACTATTCCTAAAGATGTTGACCTTAATGGATTGCCACAGCTTTGCTTTCCAGGTAATGTGTGTGTTTTAAGTTTTCACAACGTATTTCTGCTCAAGTGAATCAGTGTGTGTGTCAACTGTAATCAGTGTGTGTGTCAACTGTAAAATAAGATGCATGAAACTGATTGGGCGGGCAATTCCCTGGGAGCAGTCTGAGTCTGGGACTTTTGGATACTGTTACATTAAGAAGAGAAAAGCAGAGAGAGACAGAGTTTGGAGTGCGCTCTCACTTTGTGAGCTGCTGAAGGAATTTGTCCACATGGATAAAGAAAGATCATTTTAAATGATCTTAGTGAGTTGATACAACTGATCACATTGTACATATGTTTATTTATTTATTTATTTGCAGCATTTTTACCCCGCCCTTCTCAACCCTCGAGGGGGGACTCAGAGCGGCTAACATAGGCAGCAATTTGATGCCACAATAACAAAACACCAGTATAAAACATAAATACATAAAAAGTTAAAAACAGTAACAATTAGTTATATCATCACACAATCACATAATCACATATCCATTTTCCAATTATAATAACAGTCATCAAGACCAGTTCCATGTTCAAAGTGCTGCTACACCCAGTAGCCAAAGGTCTGGTTCCATAACCACGATTTTAGTTTTTTTCCTGAAGGAAAGCAAGGAGGACACCGATCTATCCTTGCTGGGGAGCAAATTTCACAAGCAGGGGGTCACCACCGAGAAGGCCCTGTCCCTTATCCCCACCAGATGCATTTGCAAAGAGGGTGGGATGTAGAGCAGGGCCTTTCCAGCAGATCTTAGACTATGAGGTGAAACATAGAGGGAGACACGTTTGGATAAGTAAGCAATCGAAATGAATCCATCAAAACCGGACAAGCAGATGCTTGTGTTACATCCTCAGAGACTGCCATTAACGTGGCATCGAAGTCAGAACAGATCAGAGCGACTTTGTCCGCAAAGAACTGAGCAAATGCTTCATAGTGAGCTGCTGAGTTGTCAGGGATCTCACTCTAAGGCAGATTTAACAGCCCTCTGACAACTCGAAACAGCTCAGCCAGACGGTTTTTTGCGGACGCAATATTGGCCACAAGAAAGGATTTCTGTGCGGCTTTTATTGCCGCGTCATAGATTCTTGGAAATATATGTTCATTTTAATATTTCTCCTAAGACACCTGTCATGATTTTGGTAGAATTCAAATGAAATCCTTTTCATCAGTCTTGCAAATAGTTTTGTTTGTGAGGGATAGTTAATTGGCCCCAGGGATCGTTCTATAAATGCTTCCTGTCTGTTTTTCTTGCAGGAGGATTTCACATAACGGGTGAATCCAGGGAAGACCAGTTCCATTTTCTGGTTTTCACGGATGTCTTTGGCAACAGAACGTATGGCGTAGTTGCACAGTATTACCAGCCTATGCAAGTATGTTTATTCTGCCACATTCCACTGAAACTGTTCAAAAGGTTGAGTTGCTTTTAAGCAAAACATAACATTCCTAAAATAGCTTACTCCTTGCACTTTATGTTACATCAGATTGCAGTTCAGAGCATAGCACTCTGAAGAATAGAGCTCATAAGCATGAATGTTTTTTAATTTTGAATATATTTGTTATGGTTTTTAACTGAATTGTTTTTAATACTAAGGATAATACTAAGGATATTTAATTATGTTTTAATATTTGTACATTTTAAAATCACATTGAAATGTTTTTAATGTAAGCCGCTTTGAGTCCCTTTTGTGGAGAGAAAAAGTGGGATATTATAGAAACAGAATAATAATCATAATCACAGAAGATTCCTGACAAATACAGCAGTGTGTTGATTTTTCATATCATAGAATCATAGAATCATAGAGTTGGAAGAGACCTCATGGGCCATGGATCCATTTTCCTTCCTTACATCAATTTTTTTCATTACCTTCGGGAGCACATAAAGGGAAGCCCCCTCCCGGTAAAAAAATCAGTTCAACACAAAAGCAAGCTGGAGCCGATCCTAGCTCCTCGGTTGCTTTTCGTGAGCAGCCTCCTTGCCTTGGAGGCTGC